GGCGGCACTCGGCGAAAGTTGGCCCCTCACGGGCGAGCGGGTGGCCGCGGCCATGGAGCCCCGCAGCATGGAGTACTTCGGCGCCCAGGTGCAGCAGAAGGACGTCGGCGGCCGCCTGCAGGTCGGCCAGGAGCTGTTGCTCTACCTCGGCGCCCCCGGAGCCATCCCGGATCTGGAAGAGGACCTAGGCAGCCTCCGCAAGACGATCGACGCGCTCACCGGCTGGGTGGGCTCGAGCAACTACCGGGTAAGCGGCGGCGGCGGCGGCGCGGCGGGGCTGGACACGCCCTCCCCGGCCAGCCCTTTAATCCCGGACGTGCGAGTCTGGCCAGGCTAGCCCCGGGGTGCGCTTGATTCTTCCGAACCACCCCGGAAAGGGAAACCCATGGACACGAGGGTCCGCATATGCACCGCCGTACCTTTCCTTTCCCACCACGACCAAGTTTTTCCACAATTGTGAACAGTGACAAATTAAGGATTCTCTGACACGGTGCTGCGTTATTGTCATTAGAACACAATGTTTAGTCACTTATTTAAGAAATCAGTGATAATTTACGTACATAAAGGGCTCGAAGACTTGACATTTGTACGTCCCTATGTAAGGTACCTAGACTAACGCATAGAACATTAGGATACATTTTTTAAGTTAAAAAAAGATGTCAAGTTAATTCCTCTTAACAAGTGACTTTTATCCTTACTCTCCTGTTTTGTTTTTCTTTTATAATCTTTGCGTCTGGAAGGTTGTGCTTTTCATCTCTAAGGCATTTTTAGAGCTTAATTCGGTGCCCGATTAAGTTTACCGTTAAATCTGATGAAAAGATGCTGATCCCAGGGCATTATTTATTTCCTTTTTATTGTCGACAGAAAGCAGTTGAATGTACTGTCATTTTGTTTTGCCGCAGTTGAGGACCGACTCTGATTTGAAATTGTGTCCTAGCAAGTTAGCTGATGCAGAGAAAGAGAAGGTTGAGGGACAAGAAAGAATGTGTTTCTGATGAGCCAGTAGTAGGCAGGTTGAGAAACCAGGTAAGTATTCTGTAACTAGCCTGTTTGAAGTTTTTAGCAGTTACTTTTCTTTCTAGTCTTCTGGTGGCAGTGTTGCTTTAAAATGCTGGCCCAAACCTATAGATGAAGTGAAGTGATTTTTCTTAGTAGTATATCTTATAACCCAGCGAATAGGCTGTACTCTGAAAACTGTTTTCACAGAGAAGAAAGGCAAACTCTGAAATTATTATGAAGATTTAATAGTGAACATTATGTGAGTTTTGGAAAGGATTGATTTTTACAAGGGTAATAGTTTGAAAATTACTATCTTGATGCTTGGTCCATTACATACTATCTCTTTATTATTATTTTTTTAAACTGGTAAAAGTTGATGTTAATAATATATCATTACTGTTTGGGGGGATTATTATTTCTTTGGAAGAAACAAGCTAAATTTACTTACACTGTAAGAAGGGCATGTAAACACTCAAGATAGTCGATTTTATGTTACAGCTCAGGCTGTTATAGAAAATCAGCTCTTTGGTAATGCTTACTCTCCTTCCAAAGTGAAGGTTGACATGTCACCTTCTTCTGTGCTGGTTTGGTGAGTTGGCTTTGGACCATTTCACTCTTCAGATGTACCATCAGTAAATGGCAGTTGAGTCATCTCTTGAAACACTCTTGGCTTTTATGATATACCACAGTATCCCAATTTTTCTTTTATGTCTCTACGCACTACATCACTCAAGTGCTGTGTTTTTCCTTTGACTGGTCCTTAACAGAATTCATCAGAGATCTGACTCAGTTCTCATCCCTTTACTACACATTCTCCCTACGTTCCTCATTAGATACTATGGCTTGAGACAATTTCAGCAATCAGAAGAAAACTGACACAGTCTCCTACAACCGTATCTACACACTTTCTTGTAGCTGTGTCTGTATAGTCTACCTTCTTCTCTGTTACAATGACTCATCTGTCTTTTCTGCTTACACCAGTCTCTCTGCATGCTTACAATATCCCATGCCCTCTTACCTACGCAAAGACATTCATCAGTTCTGCTGTCTCCTTCCTGAATCACTAGTTCTCTCCTTTCTACTGAATGCTTCATAGAAAGTTTTCTGACATTGTTAGAGGACATTCTAATTGTTTTGTGTGTGTGTGTGTGTGTGTGTGTGTGTGTGTGTGTGTGTGTGTGTGTTTTATAACCCTAGTTTCCAAACTAGGTCATCATTTTTTACCCAAGATACAATAAAACACTTAACAGCTTAAAAAAGTGTATCCAAATTTTTTGAATATACAGATTGTACTTAAATTTCAAATTACGCTGAACAAAATATAATTTTTCTTTAAATTTGATAGTACTTCAGAATTTGAGTGTCTTAACCATCATTCAGTGAATTTGAGTGACTATACTATATGCTGGGTATTGTTCTAGATATTGACAATCCAGCTCTGGACAAGACTAGCAAAGCTCATTCATTCAGCCTCATTCATATATTTATTGAGGACCGACCATGTGCAGGCATGTACTCTCCTAGACACTTTGGATACAATAGAGAAAAATGACAAATCCTTTCCTTTGTGGATTTAGATTCTAGTGGGGGAGAACAATAAAGAAGTTAACTAAAATCAGTATATTAGATGGTGGTACTTATTTTGGAGAAAAGCAGTGAAGGGGAATGCAGAGTGTTGGGCAGGATACAGATGTTTGAATTTTAAATAGTTGGT